TATTTTTTTTTAAATTGTGCATCTCAAATGTGCACTAATTCCCATTTGTGCTTCACCTGCTTATATTTCAGTCAGTCTGGGAACTCAGTTTCAACTGTATAGATATTGTTGTTCCTGATTCTTTCCTGAGCTTTAAGTGTTCAATGTTAGGTTGGATGGGGCTTTGAGCAATCTGTTCCAGTGAAAAATATCCCTTACCATGACAGGGAGGTTGGAACTAGATGATCTTTCAAGGTCCCTTCTAACCCAAACCATTCTATAATTCATTCTGTCATTCCTGAGAGTACAACTGAATTCAAGGGTGATTTCTACATTTTCAATGTGTGACATTTTCATTGCTCTTAGATGTGTGATCTTGCATCTAGTCACCAAGTGAATCTTGTTTAGCAGATGGGCTAACTTTTGCTAGACGTCAGATAAGTTTAAAGCAGAGGTTTCCACACTGCATATACTGTTCCACAACTGGCTTACAAATCGTTGTATTATCATAAAGTAATAGAACGGGCTTCTCCTAAGTTCATGCTGGTGAAGTACATTAAATTCCCTTTAAACACATTAAATCATATTTAATTTACATATATCCAATTTACAAGGCTGTAATTGCCATATGTTCTAAATGTTCATGTGAGAAGGAGCAAGCACAAGTCAAAAGATAATCTTTTTTTTTGCAATGACATGTGACCCCTGTAATGAAAAGCTTTGTCCTGAGGAATGTATTTCTGAAACTGGAATTGTTAAGGAAATTATGACTAAAAGTTTTTTGAGCTTGCTATTACTTGATTAGTTTCTGAGGTAACCTAAACTAGAAATGTTATAAAATTACAAAATTTGATCAAGATCTTAGAAACTTTTAAAGTATTTGGCATTCCTTTCTTGATTTTGTGAGATGATTTAGGAAATAAAAAAATAGAATTATATTTTATGATAAAAACATATATTTGGAAAAATCAGGGATGTCATTTTCAACAGCATTTTTTCCAGTGTGTGGCACAGAACGCATATGGATGCGCTATATATATTGCTATTAAATGTAATGAGTTTCTGTCCTTTTCTCCCTTTTCCTACGTCTTCCTATATCTGCAGAACTCCCCACCTTGGAGATACATAAAAATGAGACATTAGCTGAAGCTTTCTCTCTTAAAACTCCAATTTACTTTGCCATGTACTTATCTTCTCAGCTGTGGGGATATATAGATAGATATATATCTATGTATATATGTATGCATATTTTCATGACGTGCTTAAACAGATACATGCATCTTTAAATAACCGATGGATGCATTCTTCTTGGTATGCTCATAAGCCTTTTTTATTTTTCTCTGTCCTCTTTGTTCCTTATATTCTATTCTTTTAATTCCAAACATTTCCCTTGCTGTACATATTAGAGTGAATACTTATCAAAGCATAACTTTAGCTAATGACACTACAGGTCTCATAAGAAATAATGCAATTGCTACTTTAAGAAGCAGCATATTTAATAAATCCGTATAGGCTCAGTAGAAATTGCTCATGATCTTGCTCTGATTAAATATCAGTGTGTATGTAAACCCAAAACTTTATGAGCCTTTGCTGTAACTCTTTGCCAATAGCAGTGACGGGGCAAATTAATTTTTATTCCCAACAGAAGGTTTTGCTGCTGGGGTCATACTGCATTAACTGCCATCACATCTATATTTTGCGATACATTGTATTTGTGAAAATAAGTATATGTGAATGAAGTATAAGATCTGACAAAAATAAAGTCTGTACACTGACCCATCTGGATTGATTTTGTGTGTCTCAGAAAACCTTGAGATACAAAATCATGCTCACAATTCATTACATCCTAAATAATGACAGTTACTTCTGATTTAAGATTATGTTCACTACCTCTTACAAGAACTGCTTCATTTGCTTATTACTTTGTCAAATTTTAAGTTCTGTGAGGGGGAGTGAACATTTACATATCTAGTGGTGTTACCTCAGCTTGTGGAGGTCAGGTTGTTGAGCTTTTGGTACGATTTTTTACCGTTTGGGTATGGTTTGTCTATCTCCAAGAATGGGATGAGTTAAAAAAACCAAGGTGGGTCTATGTAAAGAAACGTGTTCATTTGTTGTCACTGAAAATCTGTAATACTTCTGTGATTAAGGGCAAAGAATGAAATACGGGCAAAAAAAGTATTTTTCTGACAGAGCAGTACCTATTTGTACCTAAGAAAAATAACTAACCATATTACAACCATATAGCTAACCATATTACAAGTCTGCATATTTTAGAAGGAACAGTATAGTAGAAATAAATAAGACTAGCATCTGTAGACGATTTTTGAGTTTAACAGCTAAATTCTCAGCATAATGGCAGATTAAAGGTTAGCAGACAAGGAAGAGGAAAGATGAAGACTGAAACACGGATGCAGTTATGGACACAATAGAAAGCTTTGGCAGAAAGACTTTAGAGAGTTAGTGCCAGAAAGATTCCTTCCTGGTTCTTGAGAAGTGACTTATCTAGGTTCGCGTAGGCTCGCAGGCTTAAGATAGGCCATTCTCGACTTTGTGAGTGTACTGGTAGAGTGTATGTCTCATCTCCCTTAGTGATGGCCTGTTAAGGTATCTCTGTAACAGCTAGTAAGTGCTCTCTTGGCTCCAAGTGACAGAAGTTTATGCAGGGAATCTACATTTTTCCAACCTGTTTGTGACTTGAGTGTCTGGTTTCATATGAAGAAATTCTCATGGGGTTGTTAGGGTTTTTTTTGTTGTCTATTTTATTCCATTTTAAAATGTGTGAAATTGCATTTTAAAACTTCATTAGGTAAATGTTTTAGTTGCAAGCGCAACTATTAAGCCCAATACACTAACAAAAGAAATACCAGATGCAAAATTTAGCTGTGCAACTTTAATTCATCCCATTTATCTGTGTGCATAATGTAGGCATTATTTATACCATCACATTTCATATTTTGCAATACTGCTGAAGTGTGCTGTGGAGATGAACCTGCTTTCTGTGGTGGTGACTTCCATTTTCTGTAGTTCTCTCATTTTTGTTGCAAAGCTTGAAACTGTGAATGAAGGAAAAGGAAGGATATCTCGGTAAATGCTTTCTTTGAGACTTAATTTCTGTTCCAGCCTCTGCCACAGAATATCTGTATGAGAGTGAGCTAATAATTTAAACCAAACCTTTTACAGATGACTTCTGATTAAGTGTTTATTATTTTGGGAGCCAGAGGCTGGGCTTTTGGAAATGCTGAGCATTCTTAGAGCAAGAGTCCCTAGAAGGTGCATATGGAGCTATGCAATGCTAAATACTTACAAAAAATGGCCTGTAGACATCCCAAATTAATAGCTACTATATCTCATAGTGACTTAATCTCTCACCTGTAAAATGGAATAATACTATATCTTCATTCTTCTTGTAAAATAAATTATGTATTTGTGAATCTTTTGCATGCTATAATGATGAACACTGCAGAAAAACACATAAGAAAAATATGATGTGATTTTAAAGATAAACTACATGAAGCCATGCCTGGAGTAATGGCAGTAAAACACCACTGAATGAAGTTTCAGATTTCAAGAAAAAAAAGTAGTTTGTGGCTATTAAATTAAGAATTGTATCATAACATCTACATAATGGGGGCTGAATTATGGCTGCATGACCAACCTTTTAATTCTTAACTCATGAATGCTTTATTTTGCAGCCTGCGTATTCTTTTCATAGGGCCTTGTGGGTATGCGTAGTCACACAAAACAATGTGCTCATTATAAAGCTTTGAGGTATATTTTTTGTCACACTAATTTGTTACTAATAAATAGATAATAAATAACATCTTGAATAAGAGATCTGCTGAGACCCATTTTCCCTCCTAAGAATAACATAGAAGATGTTTGACCTTCAACTTTTAATAATGTATGTCTGTTCAGAAATCTGTTTTATTCATTTTTGTATATATATACTTCCCCAAAATCAATTTTTGCTAAATCTACAAGTTTTTAAATTGATGGTAGTCTTTGTTTACTGTAAGTTGCATATGTGCGCCATTACTACATTTTGACTTACAAAGGCTAAGCTTTAATAAAAGACAAAAAAGAGAACTTTTGCCAAGCTTTATAAAGTTTTAACAGGTTAAAAGCTTAGTTGTATTACACATTAATAAAACTTATGGGAGAATATATTTATATCTATCTCTATCTGTATATTCATATTTAGCTTGGTACTTTGTAGATTGCCTTACCTAAAATCTAGTATTAAATTATTAAACTAAAAAATGTATTTCATGGAGAGACATAGGGTACCTCACTTCTTGATAGCAGTTTATAATTTCCTTCATCAAATTTAGCTGAGGCTATTCTGTCAGTGTGGTTGGGTTATTTTTGTTCTTCCATGGCTGCATAGCAGTGTTTTAAAAATTTTCTATTCATTTTATGTTTTTTCAGCTATCGTGACTGGTTGTCTTGTACCATTCCCCTTGAGTGTATGTGTGTATTTATGATTTTAAACAATAATATTATATGTCCAGATAGGGGTCCCATTAACATTCTATTTCACTAGAAATTGGCAAAAATTTGCATCAAAGGGTTTAGCTTCATAAATGCTATTTTTGTATTGTTATTGAGTGGTGGTTGTTGGTTCTTCCCTTTTCACCATATTGTGAATTTTTCACCACTTTGCATGGCAGAGCAAGAAGGCTGAAATGCTCAGCTTCACACATCATGTTTCTGAGAGGCTTTGTTATTTTCTATAGTCTATATTTAATGCAAAAACATAAGAAAACAGATGTGAACACTTAAATGATGTGATTGTAGGCAGAGGCATGTGACTGTCTCAAACTTAAGTTTTTGTAAAAAGCATGTGAAACTGTTATTTGATTGGAAATTTCAAGGAAGAATGGCTTAAAATTTCCTTGCAGCCTGTCCTAACTAGTGGGTCCCCTATAACAGAACCAAATAAAGCTATTTTGGAACATTCAGTTAATAGTAATTTAAACTTAATGTTTTGTTGTTTTTGTTCTTGTTTCACTGAGCAGCATATTAATCAATCCTGGAAACCATGTCAAGATTCAAGAAGGTACTTTAGGATTCTTCATTGCAAGTGATGCCAAAGAAGTAAAAAGGTAATTCATATATTTTTATCTTTAAATTTAAACATATAGTATTTAATTTCTGTTTTTTCTTTACATGTAAACACCTCACCTAATTTTCATTATTATCTGTTTAAAGATTCTCAGGGGGAATTGAGTTGGTACTTTAGTGAACCAACCATGTGTGCATGCCATTTTCTTAACTGCAGTCCTAAATATCATGGAAATGCAATAATTTTACAGCAGATGTGAAAAGAAATGAAGAGGGGTTTTTTTCTGAGTCCTACTGGAAATTGTAAAATATTTTTATCTGATTTCTCTATAATTAATTAATTTGTCTCAGTGGAATTACTTTGAGAGAGGACAGGATTACACTTTTGTGTGAGTTTCAGGTTTAGAGTAGTTCTTATGTGCATAGACTCTAACAAATACTTGATGTGAGCAAGCTACTGTATTCATTCAGTAATTGCATTAGCAGAATAATACTTATGTTCTTGTCATTTTTTCTTTACTAGAACTACATACTCTATGGCCTCATAGTAATAAATCAATCTACAACAGTGCAGTATATCCCAAACATTTTAGACAACTTTACTGGTTTGTTATACCTGGCTGATTAGATTTAGGTTGAATGAAAAGGGGTTTTATGACATTGTGTTTAGGACCAAACTTGCGTACTTTTGTTTGTTAGGATTTATGATATGCTTGGAAGGAGTAAAAGAGCAATGTGAGAAAATAACTTTTAAAAGAAGTAATTATTCAATGTCTGTAAGATTTAAAAAAAAATAAAACAGAAAAGGAATATTTGCAACTTCCTCATAATTTGTATTTTTGTTGTAAGTCATGCTGTCAAGAATCTGATTTTTACTTGATGTTCTCCTTGAGGCAGATATTTTAACTAAATCCTATACTTAGAATGATGAAATATTCAAGTGATAACCTTTACTAAGTCCTAAAGTTTTTATGATTAAATTACAGTGAAAATAATATTTAAGCAATGCATGTTTGCTATGAATATTTAAAGTCAAAACATCAAAACAGAGAAATCACTAAGAACTTGAATTCTGTCTTCACTGAAATAGCTAAGATAGGTTTTGGCTAGGTGAAGCATACAGAACAGCACAGCAGTGCTCCTGTCCTCTCATATTTCTAGCACCATCTTTGGAGTATTTGCATCCAGCATTGCCTCAGGTATGCTGCCTTTCAGCATACAGTTCTTTTCCTCTCTGGTGCTTTTCTCCATTTGAATATACAGAACCATCTTCACATTCCTTTACTGAGATGCTAGCTTTTCTTCATTTATAAGGCATTTAACACTCTCCTATAAAATTATTTGAGACGCTAAGCAAAAATTACCTGGCATAGCATTTTTAACAGGGAGAAGTTGACTGTTATTAATGTGTTTAGAGAAAATTTACACATCATTCGCCTAGCACGTTTTATCTAATAGCAAGCTGAACCAAAACTCCCAGTTCTGCCTTGCTTTTTTGCAAGAAGGCTTTATTTAGAAACATGCTGCCTCCCTTACCACATTGCTTAACTGTTCTGTGCAAAGCAAATGATTATCAAGATGTGTTTCAACTAACAACACCAATTATCTAAAGTGTTGATTTCAGCATTTTGAGCTATGAATCAGAGTCAGAAAAATGTTCTAAAATTAGAAGTCTTTTGGAGGGGAAAAAAAGGATTTTTTAATAAAGCAAAATTAAAAATGTTATATACCTGAAATTCAAATTAAATTATTTTGGTTTTGTGTTACATGCTAATGGAGAAATTTCAGCTCCTTTAAGCTAACACTATTCATATATATCAAATATATATTTCACAATGAAATATAACATGCAGTGTTCAATTACTCTTCTTACTAGAACTACTTTTGCGTTTTTAGAACAATAGTTTCACATTAGAAACAATTATACCTAGAAACAATTATGCCTAGGTAAATAGCTTCATGTAAAATGTTGAATGTTTAAATATAATACAAACTATATGAATTGCATCTTTATCCATTTGCATGTTAGTACTAACATCAGAAATCTACATGCTTCAAATCCACTTAATTCAACCCAATTATATAGAAGGATAATTTTATTACAGCAATCACTTCAGGCGTTTGCTCTTGACTTTGCACATAGGATTGAAGGTACTGTTTAGGACATTTGTCCTGCAGTGGACTTCAGAAACATGATCTGTAGAAGTGACCTAGGTCAAATTCGTGTCATGAAGTTTTGTGTGATAGTGGATTGTTGTTCAATACAGGGACTTACAGCTGGATTGGGGAGAAATTGTAAAAAATGGAGGCAATTTTCTGCTCCTTGCTTATGTCTTGACATCGACTCATGGTTTGAAAAATATTTTATTCTCATTTCCTTGGAGGCAGTTTATTTTCTTTTCGTTGGAAAGTGAATATTTTGAAGTCCAGAAACTTTCTCCAGCAAAGTATACAAATGCTCAGAGAAGGCTTTTTCATTTTACATTTTGCTTCTTTGAAATAGTAAGACAATTTCACAGTCTGAAAGAGTAATCTTCCTGGATGTTTCTTAGAGAAATTAAGTCTGCCATATTTAGGACTTATGTCTTCCATCAGTAGCTTGCATGCTATCTTTATTTTAGAAATATTAATAACATTCAGTGAGGTCTTACTGCAAATTTAAATTTCTGTCCTCTGGTCCATATCTCATATGGTAGACCTGCTACCTTTCTCCTGATGGGCCACTTTACCTGGGCCATTATTCAGAGGTGTAAAATAACTTAGATACCTAATTCAAATAGTTACAAATTTATCTAGTTCATATTTCTCAACATTTCCTTTAATATATTCCACCTGTGGTGGACTCTAACTAAGTTAATCTAAAAAGAATTAGTAGCAATCATCCTAGCTGAACTGTCAGAGGCTGTGTATTAATATTGATTATTTTTCTTGTTATATTTTGGACTGTAGATTGTTCTGTTCCAGTGACTGTTCCATACTGTTGTAGCAATCCAACTATCCTAAATCTATGAACAGTACTGTTGGCGAAATCCATGGGTGGTTGCAAAGTGGCACCTTTGGTTCTTACTGCCAATTTGTGTTGAGAAGTATGCAATGAGAGAGGGTTAGGAAGATAGGCATGGAGCTGACATATCCTGAATACGGATAAGTAGAGGGAAATTTCATCAGGTTAAAAAGTATGTTTAATTTGTTATTCCAGCAAGAATCCTGGGGAACTGTAACTGTCCAGCTAGAGGCCAGCTGCGTGATCCTCATGAGATGTGTCACAGCAGCCTTACATGACATATTGACTTGACAGGCATGATTAAACTCTCCTGTGAGCAGTCTAATGCATATTTATTAAATTGGAATTTTGTTCTAATCTTATATAAAGTCAAATGTTTACCCTTTCTGTCTTCCATAGTTCTCCTTGTGCTTCACCTAGTGGTGAGCCATTTGATACAAGAGTAGGAGTTCATAACCAAAAGCATTAAATGGAAACCTAGATGGTTCACCTTGTTATTTGTGTATTTTTGTTTGAAATTTTGGCTTTTGTCTGTTCAATACCAAAATGGTTCTGCTCTATTCCAATATAAAAACCAAAAAAAATAGTGTGAATCAAGATTATTTCAGTTCTTTCATTTATATGTTTCTTTAGGAACTTATTTGGATAGGATTTTCCCTCTCTGGTTTTGGTTGGGTTTCTTTTGTAAATAGCATATCTGATGTTATTGTCACATTCATCTCATTGCAATCTCTCATTGTATCCAAAATGAAGTCCTACTTGTGACCAGGCTGAAAAATTAGCCCAGGATGCTAGACAGTCTTTCAAAAAAAAAAAAAAAAAACCAAACCCAAGAAGCTGGTATATCTGATAAGAACAGAGAATTCATTATATATATATTTTTGTGAGAAAATTAATTGGATGCTCTTTTTGTAAGATGAAAGACAAATGAACTGATACACTATGTCATAATTATCATCCCTTCTCCCAATTACCTTTCAAATAAAAGTGTATTAAAAGAAACACTAATTTGGAGTCTTATGTTTGAAATTAATGGTCTTGCAGCAAATATTTCCTACTTTAAATGTCTAAACCTTTTGAAAGATTAAAGGAAATTAGTGCTGGCATGTTTCATTAATTTGGCACTGCAACAAGAGGAAATGTGGGCCTAATTTCATTTGTATGGGTTAAGAAATGTGTCAGTTTTTCCGTTCTATCTCTCTAGGGCATTTTTTTACTGCAAGGCCTGTCATGATGACATCACGGATCCCAAAAGGATAAAAAAATGTGGCTGCAAACGGCGTAAGTAATATTTCTATCGCTCCCTTCCTCTGCTTTTCATGAACTGTTCAGCCTCAAAGAATATCTGTACATGCATTTACATGTTTTACACAGTGGTACAGAAAAGCTAAGAAAAAATGCACAGCAGCATAGTAAGTGCCATTTGCATTTCTGAAGTCCATGTATTTTTATTACATTTCACACTGCTCACACTTGTTTCTTCATTAAAAAGTCCATTAGGGTCCAAAGCTAACAAAACCTGAAGAATTAAATCAAGCTAGATCTAATTGTGGAGTTTTCTGAGTTAAGAATAAGCTAACAGTGAAGTTCTGCTGTCATTTATACCATGCAGTAATCCAGTTATTTCAATAGTTTTCTGTAAAGTAAAGAACTTTTGTCTGTCTTGCTGAACATGATTCTGTAAAAGACGAAACTAGGAAATAATATTCCATCATATACCTATTGAAATAAATTATTATTGAAATAAACAATCAGTTTTACTGGAGGAAGGGATTGTCTGGAAGAAATTAAATATTAGTGCCTCTTACCTATATCCTTTTAGAAGATTAGCTGTAATGCTAATATTTAGTTTAGTTATGTTCTTAGGTCTGCTCTTTAAATTGTTTGGAAAATTTTGCATAAAGAAATCACTGAGTTTTTGAATTGAGATCAGACTTTGCATCTGTATTTTTATAAATATATAGAAATTAGCATTTTATCTATATATACACTTTGACAGGATTTTTTGCAGGAACTATCACAACCACATTTTGGCCAAAGATGTGTTTGACCCATGTGTATTTCTAATACCGATATCAAAAGGATTTAGGGATCCATTTCTCAATGGATATCTGAATATTTATGTGCATTCCAGGGTATTCTGCCATGAAAGAGATCATTCCGTTCAAAAATACTGATTAGGTAAATTGAAAGATCTCAGAAGAGTTTAACCATGTCTATTTTACCATTACTTTTAAAAGGGCAAAAAACTCTCTTATTTATAGATCCAGTCATAGTGTTATCACTGCACTGTCTTAGAGGATGGAAGAAAGCCTGAACCGGACCTTCTCTGCCTTTAAGGAGTGCCTGAAACTGGTGAATTCTTGAAGATGATTTTAAAAAGACAAAATATCACTGGGGTTTTTAAAGAAAATCCTCTCCCCACAAAAAAACAGGAGTGTGGAACAAAGTAGCATAGTTGAGAGAAAGCAGCTGAAACACTGACAGAAAATAGTATTTATCTCCCAGCAGCCGCAAGGAGAGCAAAGCACATGGAAAGCATGCCTGATGTGGAAGGAATGTATGCATTGCCTAACATATTGGAAAAAAATTGTTCAAGAACAGTTTATCCATGTGAGAATGTGACCTTTGAACTGCTGCCAAAGCCAATGAGGCTTCTGAGTAAGTTCTGGTAAAGCCAGTTGCAGATGCCTCGAGGTGCCTGTACCTCTCAAACCCATTTTTTTTCCCAAATTATCCAGCAGTTAAAGGGAAATATGTTACCCGTTTAATTTTGTCTGACTCTGTCAAAAAAGAAAATCTGCATTTTCTTCTCTACTCCCCCTTCGCATAGTGTATGCTTTTCATACATGTGCTGATTAAAAAAAAAAATCCCAAAGATCTGTCATTTTAATGTGAGATCTACACTTTTCATTGAAATCTGTTAGAAGATAGGAATCAGGAATTCACAGTATAAAGGTTGAGAGCCCTTTGTTATACATTAATGAAAATCAGTGTAACCTCTTCAGTACTAGGAAACTGGGGAGAAAACAGAATATCCTGTGACCCAGCCAACACAATGGATATATTACCAGCAGTAGGGCCATGGAGAGGTGAGAGTGACAACTTCTATGTGTAGCACTAGGAAGTGTTGCAAATGGCATGGTCACATGTATCAGTCCAATAAATGAAAGGGTGTTGGACAGATGAAGAAACAAAATGATGGCGTTAGTGAGGCTGAAGGAGGCAGCTGTCAGAGCTGCTGCAGTGAGCACTGAACACTAAGGAGGGAATCCTCTGAGTCAGGTGAAAAAGAAAAAAAAAATGGTCAGTGAGAGTAAAATCGTAACTTTCCCTTTCATTGTCTCCCCTCTTTCTCTCCTCCCATTTGCCCTCTCCCCTCTCCTTTCCTACATGCACACACATACGATCACAGATACCATGATAGCTGGCAGCTCACAGTACAGCTGAGAACAGCTTCCACTTAGGAGCATGCTCACAACTATTAGGAGTAATACAATTGCTTTGCTTTCAAAGTTCTGTCAATCAGCAAAACACGTAAGTGAAAAATTTCAACAGTAATTAGTGATTTTTGGTCTCTTGAATTTTGATGACAATCTTGAGATCCCGTTTTATGGGACTTGATATTTTTTTTTTAAAGGTAAGTCTTTAGTGCAGTCTGTTATTCACATAAAATGTCTTAGCTTTAGCTTTCAAATCACTAATCACTTTTGAAAATCTTAACTATGTTATTCATCTGTAAGCTACACAAATCATTGGTCTTAAAAATGCAGTCTAACCAAAACAAGGCATAAATTACAACTGATCTGTGAACAGCTATTATGTCAATTTAATTTTCAAAGACACTGCAAATAGTCACACATGCATATATGTAGTCCTATATGATAAATATATATTTTAATTAGCAAGTAACATAGCAATTGGAGGCAGCTGAATGGGGAAAATATGTAAGATGAAATGAAAGGTTGTCTGTAAAAATACTGACACATTCAGGTGAATTAAATGTGAAAGAATATCTTTACATGAAAAACTTAATTATGGTGGCATTAATTAATGCAGCTTCCTGTGACACTTGAAAACCACATTCTTTAAATAATATATCTGAGGTTGCACATCAATTTAGATACTGTGTGAACATTAGCTTGTGGTATTGTTGGGGTCTAAACGTGAGTCTGACCTACATAGCCATTTGTCCAAACCTGTTAGGCCTAATATTAATAATTCAGGGTAGATCAGTACATTTCCACAAGGCCAGGGATAATTAAAGTAACCTTGCTTTCCTTTTGCAGTTTCTTTGCCATCCCTTTCCCCTTACCCATCCCACTCCCTGAATAACATATGAATGCTGATGTCACATTGTCCAGAGAAATGCTTGTGTGGAAATTTTATTCACAGATTGTTAATATTTTTTTCTTAATGTTTTCAATCTCTTTCCTATTTCATTTAACTGTAGTTTTTGCAGCAAGGGGCCAAATACATGTATATATTTATATAAAATGCAGCCACGTTGGGATGAAATTTCTAAACTGGATGACCTACTCCTCCTGTTTCTTTCATTTTGTGCAACAGCTATGGTCTAATTCTCTATATATTTTTTCCAGTGACAGTGCTTGCTGTGAACGGTGGGGGTTGAACCCCAGAGGGGACTATCATATGTACATTGATGTGTTTGAAGGAATTTCTTGTAATCTATGACAATTGACAAACTTTTGATTTATTTTTCCTCTTGCTGCCTTGGAACACGGCCCCTACTATATTTTAACTGCACACTGATAGTGATCTATTGTGAGTAAAAATGGGTTCCCTGTAGCCCAGAGTGCGGTCCAACCTGTCTTTCTCTAGCAGAGAGTATTTTTGTTCAGTATTTTGGTTCTTTTCTTTATTTATGTTGCATGTAGCAGTGACGTCATACCCACAAGTTTCTCATCGTTTACACCCATGGAGATTAGGGTGACGTTGAAGAAAATACAGCAGTTTTCCCCTCTTCCACCTTTTTGCCTCTTTTTTTCCACAACCTTATTTTTTATCCCTATTTGAAAATGAGATCTTGGCAATGGCATTTCCTTGAAATGATTCTAGAAATATCTCATGAATTTTTAGGGATGTCGGTTAGGCTGGGGTAATTACCACTATAGCACTGTTTGCCTGGTTAAGGGCAATTCATTGTCAGACCCATGTTCAGTTTTTTTGTACTTTGTATTTTCCATTGCATAGGTGGCACAAAGAGCAACACAGCAGTCTTTTACTGTCCTTAATTAACTCCTTTCCCTGCATTGGCAAAAAAAAAGAAAAAAAAAAAAAAAAAGAACAAAAACAAAAGGAGATGGGGGTACAGCCAGACAATGAATTAAATGTGTGGCTAACTTTTAATGTATAAACCTACAAATATCTTCAACAGGAAACAAGCTACAGTGATTATTTCCCCCAGCTTGCTTGTTTTGAATTAATTACATGAGTAGTGCCACACTGACTTTTCAGGACCTAAGCTGTAAAGTCTTATTTTATTATTATATATAGAATACAAACTTTATAGACCACTTCATGTCAATCTAAGTCATAGCACTTTAAAGTGTACAGAATCTGTGAAGGCTCTCATCAGCCACTTTTAGTGTGTACAGTTGTGATAATTTAAATAAACACAAGCATTTGGGATATGGAAAGAATTTGTTGCTTAGAAATACAAGCACTGCAAAGAAATGTACTATTATAGGGCAGTGTTGGGATTATATGGGCTTGTTCTTTCAAACAGCAAGAGGGATCAAACATTTCATAGCTGCAGTGAGGCATTACTGTACCAGATTGAGGCTGCTAACCATACCGTATAACTGCAGCTATTCTAAATAAGGGAGGCTATGAGACTTTTTCAACATTTCCCCAGATATTCCAAATTTATTGTGTGATAACACTTCAAGTCTTAATCAGGATTGAGATATTTTTTCCCTTCTCAGTTGTACATACCATAAGATCTTGCAAAAAATCAAGAAGTTGACACTCCTGGAGTTGCATGATAAAGTGCTAGCCATCTTGGAATTGTGATGGCCTTCATTATGATTATCATTATTTACTATTTATTTTGTTGTGGTGCCTGCAAACTACACTAAAGGGTTGAGATCCTGTTGTGGTAGAAGGCATTCAAACAGAACAGAAATTTCTCCAAAGATCTGTTTTCAGCCAATAGAACAACATAGCAGAAAGATGGGGCAGCACAGAAAAGCAGATTGTGAAACAGGTCAGCATGATAGGAATCAATACTTAATAATAAACCAGAAGAAAACTAATTTCTGTGGATAAAATGATGAATCCTATTGACTTTGAGGCAAAATACTGGAAGTAATTTGGATTTATTTGAAGAAATGTATTTATTTTAAGTATGTGTCTATGTTGAGGCGTTTCTGGACCAGAGAAATTAGTTTAAATAATAATAAACAAACAAATAAAAGAGCTCTTCATGTTAAGAGAGTATTAAAAAAGAAAAGGTCATGTAACCTTGGCTTACTTTTTTTTTTCCATTTCCCCAATAGCTTCAGTTTTTTCAGAAATGCAGTTAGCTTTGAGAGTACACTGGCTGAGAGTCGTTTTTAAGGTAATGAAGGAAAGGTCATGATCAGATTTGAAAATTAAAATGAATTGGTCTATAAATGTGCCATTACTTCAAAACCCGTGAGTTATTCTGATAGCTACTAAAATAGGGCAAAATGTCCACTCGGGTCACCTGCTGTTTCTACGGTTTTGACAGAGAACAGCACCGTATGAATTATAGCAAACAACTAACCAATTGCCTTTGATTGCAAAAATTGGAAGATAGTGAACAAGCTGACTTGGTGGTCTTGAAGTTCTTCTGTAAAAATTAAATAATGGAGAGATAGCTTTGCCTGTTGTGTTAAGAGAAATTCTCACAAACAGTTTAAGATATGCTGCTGTATTTTTCACGAAACTGAAGTTATGCTGGAGGAAGTCCTTTCAATATTTCAGTCTCATGATACTAACCAGCGTTGCTAAAAGGCGATCAAATCAGTCTGGTCGTCCTTTACTGCTCCTGTAATTCTGCCCATAGTGTGGATCATGAGGACTTGATGAATTGAAATGATACCGTATGCATTTCAATTCTTGAGTGTAGTGGGACCTTTTTTTACCATTTGCTGGTCAAGAAACTTCCAGTTCATCATCCTCTTAACCAGCTGTTATCTCCTAGAGATCCACTAGATGTCCTCGTAGATCTACTTTTTGTTACCGTTGAGGTCACAAGGAAAACTGCTATACCGATAGGTGGAGTACGAGGATTAGGTAGACTGTGGTTCAGAATCAGCGAAGATGAAGACACACTATATTCTGCTTGCTTTAAAAAAAAAGGAGCTGTTCCTTGACATTTTAGGTAGAGAATAATCTGCAGTTTCCTTTGCTTATTTTTGCAGCTGGAAATATTTCCCGTTACTGTTTGTGAACTCTAAGTAACACCTCAGATCCAGACAATCTGGAAATTTTGACTGGACTTTTTGAGTTTTTTAAATCAGAAAGCAAGGTACTGTTAGAAGCTTAGACATCTAAGGCACATTGCTTCCTTATTAGAATGGAAGGCTATTGCCTTCTGAGAAAAATGGCAACAAAAAAAGTTTTTAAAAGCATTCATTTACTTTATAAATAATAGTCAGAAATTTTGCTTTCCTTTTTGCTCTTAACAAATCAGAAGATGAGTAGTTCATATAAGCCTTGTTTTGTCAGTAAATTGTTTAAGTAGTCTGATTTCCATGTCCATGATAACTTCCCCTGATATTTTTACTAATTCATTTTACAAATGCTGTGGGATTGTCATCATACTAAGTAGAAGGATCTGTTCTTCCTTTTTGTCCATTTATTATTCACTTGAAAATAAGGAAATAATTTCCTTTATGTCCCAACTTACATTTTCACTAGTTGCAAATAACAGTTCTAGTCAACATCCATAACATTTCTATGAATAGAAATGAGTTGATTCTTATGCAGATGCTACAGGTGAATTTAACACCCACCCAGAGGCTGTTCTTGAGGTCCCCCTGTCTCTCTGATGATTCCCATTTTTTGTTAATCTTTGTGGAAGTTTTATAGGAAATGGTATGTCTGTGGCTGAACCATTTAAAATCGTTTCTGTCTTGTCTTTGATCTTGTCACTAGTCATCCCTACTAATAATCCATGTTTTGTTTTATTTAAAAGAAAATAAGTATTGTATTTGGTATGAATGTAACAATGACTGTATAAAAGGACTGAAGAGTAACAGCATGTTTTCTTTCCAAAATGTATTGCTCTGATATGCAGTTGCTTATATACTGGTTGAAACCCTTATAGCAAGTCCTTTCTGCTACTTATATTTCCAGGTCCAAGCCTGTTTCCTGCATGTTAATGATGTGAAATATTAAAATGATGCATGATCTGCAGAACAACTGATAATAATAGTTAAAAACAGTCCCTGAAAGGGCATTGCTTTTGAGAAGCGCCATGGAGTCCTTCCCTTATTGAACAGAAGGGCTTAAATTTCCCACTTCATTGGTTTAAGTCTGATGAAAATGGTACAAAAAGTTTTTCTTCCCAACCCTCTTTGCCCTTAAGGATGATTTCTTTTAATTTTCATAAATGTGTCCTATCCTGTTATCGACTGTTGACAAGATACGGCTACAAGTAAATGAAAACCAGGGACTGTTACTAACCAGTGACATAGCAGTTGAGAATTTCTGAGCAGTGTGTTTTGCTACAGCATTCAATTAGAAAAAGTCCTTCAAAACAGCTATAATTAAAACAAAATGGGCCTGCATTTTACCTCACCTGCTGTCAGTGTGTCTCTCAAATGCCTTTTATTTTTCTTTCATTTTCTTAAAGTGAACATAATAAAATAGGCATAGTGGAAAGACTTCCACGTTTTTGATAACGTATTTCAGTTTTCTTTTTCTGCCCAACTTTTCCATTTTAAAGAATGTGTTGGGAAGAGTTAGACAGAGGGAAATCATGGGAAAACAAATGCTGTTTTGAATTTTCTGTGTAGTTTGAATGTGTATGCATCAAAAGCTGCAGTGGAAACCTTCTTACTAAAAGCCAAGCTCTGAGGAATGATGTACCTTGCAATGAACAAGCCTGATGCTGCATGATGACTTTCTGAACAGCTGTAAGATAACTCTACTAGGATGCTAAAAGAACATGGCATTAGTCATGTGAGCAAAGTTTTAGAGGAATGGAGTCGCTGCTGAAGAGATCACTCATTCATCTCCCTCAATGCCTGTTTTCCACAATCATAATGTTACCCTTGCTTGACAAGTATACTGTATGGCAAGTCATCAAGGCCTTAGAACAGGACTTGACCCATTTGAGCGATTTCAATCCCGCTTCCCTGGTGACTGTGGCATTAAGAAACTGGGAAAAAAAAAAAAAAAAAAAAAGAGAGAGAGAAATTATTTTAAATTTAATGTCATTACCATAATGCAAAAAAGACATCCTAAACTGAAGGTACAGGCCAGAGAAACATTACCTTTTTTCTGCATTTGCTTTTAAGGTTTTGTTTTTGCCTGTCAGTGTTCTGTTTTGTTTTTAGTATAATTGAGTCAGTTCAATCTAAACCATTACCAAAAGTGTTGGTTCAGTGCAACGTGTGAAACAATCTAAGTGGCCTTTGCATTTGTTCAGAATTGAACATACCTGTGATTCAGGTAACATACAAAATTGCACGATTGTAATTACACATGCTTTTATAAAATAGGATGTAGTATATTTCTAGAAATATATAACAAGGATGTTCCCATGAGTGAAGGATATAAATGTTCTGTTCTAACCTGGCACCTTAACCTTTTGGATTTAGCCCCTAATTCTACATTCAGTTATTTGGTTCTTGATCTACCTTTGAATCCAGAGCAGAAAACATGCCAATGATTGGTTCAGCATGTTTCAATGGACCAATGCTCTCTGTGCTTTTGGTGATGCCTTATTTGTGAACTGATTTTAATGTCAAGCATATTTACCATTATTAGTTGTGTCTCTTATATGGGCAAATTTTGGTATTCTGTCAAGAGTTAATTTGAATTCCTGAAGATATAATGTAAATGAAGTAAATTTTTCAGAAAATTTTATGAACATCTTGTAACTCTTTAGTAATGTGTAATTCATTGCAATAAAGGAGTTCCCTGGCACAGTTTAATACAGAGAAATTATTAGCATGTGTTTAAGAATAAATATATTTATATATATGTATATATATGTATGTATGTGTATAACGTATATGTGTGTGTGAGTGTGTATGTAAGAATATATGTGTATGTGTGTTTTTGTGTGTGTATACATACATATATATATAGATATATAAAAAGTCTTTGATTTTTACAGGAAGCAGGATAGGCCAAAAATGTCCAATGGATTAGCAGCTTTAGATTTTTCCTTTCATTTTAGCCCAGTAGTATTAATTGTGCCACGGGAAAAAATATATTATTAGGATTCTCTGCTTTTACTATGTTCTTTTTCAATCCAAACACTTGACTGTAAACAGTAATTCTTCCCCTTGTCTGCGGTCACCCTATAAGACTGAACAGAAATAAAGAGCCATTTATCTTTTGCCCTACTTTTAATGTACAGCCAAAGTGTTATCAATAATCTCATTGCACTTTTTTTCCTGGGTCAAGACTGTTAACATAAACTAAGGCCTGTATTAAATCCCTTAAATTACCTTCCAGCTGCCTTGTTATATATATAACCTTGCCATTAACCTGCTGCTCTTCCTCTCCTCCCATCCAACACATGGTTATAGCCAAGATGTCCATCTACAAGAGAATGAAACTGGCATGTTGTTTTGATTGCGGACGCTCTGAGCGTGACTGCTCTTGCATGTCAGGCAGTGTACATAGTAACATGGACACCCTTGAGAGAGCCTTCCCACTTTCTTCTGTCTCTGTTAATGATTGCTCCACCAGTTTACGTGCCTGTAAGTTTTAACACCAACACATGCTGTTCCATGTCTGTGGTGTCTGTGGTATCATCCCCGTCTTGTGTCGTACATTGTAGTTCTGTGAGTTTTACTGGGCTGATGCTTTTTAAAAAAGTCAAACCCAAATTTTTATACAGCTCTGTATTTATATTTCTGTTTTAATTTACTTTTAATAAGAAAAATTTAATTCATTATTTTGCTTTGTGTGCTCTTTATGAAGCATGCTCTTGCAATAGCATGCAGAACCTTAGTAGTGCAGTTTGGTGACATCTTTTTTATTTAATTCATACAATATAAATTGTCATTAATTAAACAATAAGTGCTTCAGTGGAGGAACAGGCCTGTGTCTAAATCTATGACTGGTACTAAGTGGACAGCTTTAATAGTGCTGGCACTAGAGCAGCATACAAATAGGCAGTGAATAAATATACAGGATACAACTTAGTAGCTGAACTGTAGTAGCTGCAATTCTATTCTATACTTCTACCATTATCTTTAGTTTTGCTTGTAACCCTTCATTTTCAATAAGGCAGGACCTTCCATCTAATACTGAAACTGCAGAAACCTTAGTAAAAATGGTTGTACTTTTTGTAGTGCCTTTTTAGAAGGGCTAGCCTGATGCAAACTTCCTGATGCAAACTTTTTGAAATTAACTGTAGAATTTGACCCACAGGACAGTACCATTCTGGAATATGCCCTTAAAGGTCTTTTGAAAGATCAGAGTTGAGAGGGAGAAGACAGAGAAGTTAGAACAATTCTGCATAGCCGTTAATTCTTTGAGCGAGCGGTAGGGATTCCAAAGCTTCCTTTATAGGTGTGATGTCAACAATTGAGAAGATTAAATAAAATGGTGATTTTTTTTTTTTTTCATTTTCTTATTCTCTTTAGACATTCATAACAGGCAAAACTATGTCTTGGAACAGGAACTGTTTTCCTTTCCCTATCCAAATGGCAAAGAAAAACTATAAAATTATTCAGATACATCTATAAGGAGTATTAGGAGTTTTGATTGGGAAGAATGTCCACTTTACATTACAAGTCATCATGGATAAAAATGCCTTCCATTAGTAAGAGTATAATGTAGCTAGTACATTATGGATCTGGTTGCCTTTTGATACTGTATGTGTATTGCAGTATGTAGTCCAAGTGGTGAATGACTTCGCTTAAACTATTTTGACATTTGAACTATTTTTCTAGTCACAAATGTGGAGTGTGTAACAATACTGTGATTTTTGTTAGCATTTTTTTCTGAAGACTGTGTCAAACTGATTCTAATAGGATTTCTTAGAGATTTTACCAGAAATCTTCTCTCTGTACATATGTGTATAAGCACTCTGAATGTCCCTTCCATGAGTTGCAACTCATGCATCGCCTCAAGGGAGATGGTTCCATTTTAAGTTCTATTCTAAGTTACAGGAGTTTTTATCCTTTAGAGAGACCTTTATCAGAGCAAAACGTAGCAAAACATATTTTGTTAAGAAAAGCGAACAAGAAACCTCCCTGGATTGAGAATTACTGCAGGCAGTGTTACTTACACAGCCTAACAGCCTCAGTAACACAGTGCCTGGTATAGTTTGCATTAATACAGACTAGTAGAGAGATATGTGGTTGGGTCTCGGCACTGGTGTTAACAGCAACCAGACCAGGCTAAATGAATACGTCCCCTACAAATGGGTAGAATTTCTGCCATTAGCACTGTTTGGCAAGGAAAGAAAAACCATAATTTGTAGGTTTACCGTAGCTTTCAAGTTCACTTAAGACTCTACAGAGGCAGATAAAGTAAACATTTTTGATTGTGTTGCCTGCTGAGCCAAAAACCTCCACAATAATGGTGTTATTGCCACCAAAAACAATACTGTTGGGAAACATGTTAGATCTATGTTATATTTTGAAGGATAAGTGATATTGACAGCTTTGAGGATTTTTAGCATCGTATCTTTCAAGGGCCTTTTCTCCCCTTCATCACTCCATCAAATCAGAAGAGATCTTACTCTTCCCCTTGTGAGACTAGTCACCTTTGACCGTTAATAAGTAGTACAAAAATCAATACCAATTCACGCTCTTTGCAAAGCAGCATAAGCCTTTATTTTCCAATTAAAATATATATACACACACATGCAATGTTTCACTGGCAAGGCTTCAATAGAAATCAGTGTATTTTCTTTGCAGTGCACAGGGGTCGTATGATGCCCATCTTGACAGAGCTAGTTAACTCAAAGAATGGTGGTGAGAGTCAGCTTTTCATTAAATATGAGCAGATGTGAAATGTAGAGTGTTTGACAATTAGAAATGGCAGCAGCAGGGCCCCAGAATCAAAGTGAGGTCAGATTGGTGGATCAGATTACCTCTCTTACATTCTTTAGTTGTTCTGAAAATCATTTTGAATTAGTGTCAGTGGAGCCATGATGGGTTTTGCCCTTTGTCTTTTATGCTAGGACTGTATTGTTTCCCCAGACACTCATTAAAGGTCATTATACTATTACCGGGCTTGCTTTGGTCATGGTGCCCCAGTTGGGTTGGTTTGCTTCTACAATTGCTTAATGCATTTCTTTCTTTCTTTCCTTTTTTTTTTTTTTTTAATAAAAGCAGGCTTTTTTTTTTTCCAAGGTAAATAAATTCACAGACCATTGTATGAAACTTCTTGAAACAATGAGTATCTTTTGTAAGAATGAATACTGTTTGTAAGAATCTTATGTCAAGTAGAAGATATCGATTTACATATTCAATGATGTACACAGGATTTAGTGTACTAATTCTATAATATGTAGAGAAAGTGACACTGTGAATCAGTTCCTCTGTTATTATATTGTTGCCTGTACTTCCAGCAAATTAAAATCATAATTTAATTAAATATAATTACATTAAAATAGCTTTTGAGTTTATAGGCAGCTGTCTGGGAAAAAAAAACCTGATGTGATATTACTAAATGTAAGGAAATAGAATTTTAAATTTTTTTTGTGTCTACATTTTTTCAGGTTTAGCTGCTTTTGGTAGATTGTTACATGAACAGAAGTCAAATGGTCCAAGCATTTTTTGTACTGGAGACTCAAGTGAATTAGAGTGAAGAGAGGCACTTAGCCACTGAAAAACCTGGGCTGGTTTATACAATGAAATTATGTTACTAATAAGTGTGATGTTTCTGCTTAGGTCTGTGCCAAATCTTGGGGAGTGCCATTCAAATGATTAATTGATACAGACAGAATCTTAACCTGAACCATTTAATTTTTGTGTTTCTGTATCACCATATGGCTGCTGCTTCTCAGGAACATCAAAAGCTCATGTTCCAAAAGGAAACCTTTTCTAAACTTGTCGCTGTGCCCACTGCCATGGGAATCTAAACTTCCAAGGACATTCTTGATAGTAGGCCCAGGCATATCTAATTCAGCTTGTGAGAAAACATGCTTTGACATGCTCTGATAGTTCTGAGAAGCTTTATGTGAAGACTTTGACTTTGATCAATAATGGGGATCTCTGGAGACAAAAGACAAGTCTAATTATCACTATATTTTGAATTCAGGTTTCAGCCCAAATTCCTAGCTATCCTATTTGGAAAGGAAGACCATGCTAAGACAAGCTGGAGAAAGCTTAACTTTTGAAAGTAGCCGAAACAAGTACCTACCTGTGTGCCAAGCCCAGTTTAGAACCATATATTCTGTCTGGTCTTCTAGTGCCATCACGTAGTTTATGCTGAACAGACAAGTTAGCTGCTGAGTCTTTCTCAAAGGAACTAAAATTGCATTCTGCAAGATTAGATGAATAATTTGGGTAGCTTGAATAAGGATGGCTGTTGAACCAAGGTTGGTACACTGTACTGAAGCAGTCTAGCAATGTAGTTTAGCAAGTTAGGTCAAGAAACACTAGCTGCTTCACTGACCTGTGCTACTTAGAGCTGTGTTGTGACACACTGCCTGTGTGTCTTTGCAACTTAAAAAACCAAATTCTATAAAGAGAGTTGAAATGACATGTCACTTACTGATTTAGCCAGAGAGAAGAATGCATCGCTCACACACATTGATTAGTGTATCTAAAACTCATCAGTTATATAACTATGCTTGGGCTTTTCTAAATGAGTTGACTGTTAAGTCCTGGATTACTAAATTACTGGCTGAAAAGACAGCGTAGTCTTTATTTCTCCCAGAATGCAAGAACTGCATCCTCTGCTTTCTACAGAACAAAACTAACCTACTCTCTAGTCCTGCTACTTGCTTTTATGGATGAGCTAAGGTGCAGGAAGGACCTATGTGTGCCCTGTCAAAGGACAACTTTCAGTGCTAGAATTCTCTTTTCACCCTTTAGCAGCAAAGGTTTCCCTTTTACAGGATACATATACCACCTTGTGGTGGCTAGAGACTTTTTGATTCTCAAACCAGCTATAAATATGACCCCATTTACATTATATTTATAATACTCTGAAGAGGAAAAGGTGGGGTACTACCATTGCTCTCTCCCACTACACACCTTTTCTGAGCTGTGAGAATTCTGTTGTGGCTGCAGGAGGGATGGAGACTCATTTGCTCTGAAATTCTTACTTTTACATACACTACATAAACGCCTTTCATATAACCCACTGATAATAGTGGGTTCATATGACCGCTGATTCCTGTGTGGTCACACTGTCTCGTCTTTGTCCTTCACAAAAAGCCAACAGCGCACCTTTAATATTTTGAGGAAGAAATTGAAGGATTGAATAAGCGATCAGGTCTGCTTGGCAAAGAAAGACAGATGTTGCCCCTCAGGGATGGCATCGTAACGTCATAAGCAAGTGATTATAATCAGATTGTTATGTTATTCCTTACTGATCATAATCAGAATGTTTATAGTACTGATTATATTATTATTGATTATAATATTGATTATAATCAGATTGTTATGTTATTCCTTAGCCACCTTCTCAGAATGAACTGTCAAGAAAGCTGCTGTTACCAAAACTGGCCAATGGGGTTTTGAAGCGTATAAAACCTGACAATTGAACAATTGAAAAAGAAAATACCAATGTG